GGTCCAGTCTTTAGCGGTCTGGTCCAGTCTTTAGCTGTCGGGTCCAGTCTTTAGCTGTTAGCTGTCAGGTCCAGTCTTTAGCTGTCGGGTCCAGTCTTTAGCTGTTGTGTAGCAGCCAAAGTTTGTTGAACATGAAGCTGCTGCAGTTTGGTCACCTTCACAGAAACTCTGGCGTGTTTTGAGCCGGTCCGGTTCTGCTGCTGTGACCCCATGGACCCCGGTTCTGATGAGTCCAGCAGGTTCTCGGGTCTCAGCTGTTTTTCTTCAGTTTGAAAACTTCAATAAATTATTTGACTTCCTGAAACTCAAACACATTTATTACTTTTAAAACCCACAGAACATCTGCAAATGCTCCAGAACCAGAACATTTGGACCCAGGGCTCAGAACAGTGACAAACAGGAAATGACATCATCAGTGTTGCTCTGCTTGAATCAAACAGAACCGGTTCTGATCCAGTCTCTGTCCTCAGGACTGAGGAGCCAGACCATCTCAGAACCAAACACCCGTCGTCCCATCAGCTCACATCTGGAGGACTTTCTGTGGGTTCTGGAGTTCTAAGGTACCTCAGAGCCCAGCGCAGAACCAACTCAGGCACTCGGAACCGACTTGAGTCCAGCAGGTTCTGACCCGACAAGGTGTAGGTGTAGGAGAATGCCGTGCCGTCCTCGTGGACGCTGGGGGTTCTTCTTGGGACAGCCTGCTTGGGACTGCTGCCCTCTTTGGTTCTGAATGTCTGTGTCTCAAGGATCCATGATGGGGGTCTTAGACTAAGCCCCGCCCCCTCCTTCACCTGCTCAGGTGTGACGTCACACAGCTTCCTCTTTGGCTTCCTGTAGGGAGCAGGGTCCTCCTGTACCTGGTGGTCCTGGTTTAGAGAGGGACGGGTCTGCTGGGCTGTGGGCCTGAGGGTTCTGTCCGAGGCAGGAGGTTCTGCTGGACTCTGGGTGGATGGGGGTGAAGATGAGACCTGGGGGCTTCGGGTCAGAAGGTTCTGGTTCGCTGGAAGGAAGCTGTGGGTGGACACAGAGTCAGGATCTGAAGCGGCACCGGGACCAGGTCCAGATGAAGCACCAGGGCAGTCCGGTGTTGGTTCTGGAGACGACTCATCAGTTGACGAGGTGACGCAGGGTGGGGGGAACATGTCCCAGGGCCTGGACACAGGTCTGGCACTCAGGTCCTCCTGCGGGACAGGTGAGCTCTCTTCCAGATCATGGCCCGGTTCTACACTTGCTGGGTCCGGTACCTCCGCAGACTCCGCTCCCTCTTGAGTCCTGGTCTGGGAACCCTCGGGGATCAGAAGAAACTTTACCGGGACGCTAAATGGCGTCTCCGTCTTGTACCGGACTCGGTCCTCATCCCAGCTGGTGAACCGAGTCCGAGAGGAGCCATGGGGGGAGGTGGAGAGTTCTGGTGGGTTCATCAGCCGGTTCTGGATGTCCAGCAGAACCGCCTGCAGACAGTCTTGCTGCCACTCCCCCAGCAGGTCTGACAGATCCAGGCCGCACTGGCTCCTCTGAGAGTCCTCCTGACCCAGCAGAGAACTCCAGGTCCGGCAGATCTTCGTCCTGACTGAGGGCAGGGAGGTGACGTAGGGGGGCTGGACCTGAACCCGACCGGCTGCGGAGGTAAACAGCTTCCCCACCGACAAGTAGAACCTGCATTTGGACTTTTCCGGGTGCATGTGGAACCGGATCCGGTAGTCCTGGACGTACACGGTGGTGTTCAGGAGGCTGCTGAAGCTCTCCCGGTCCTCCTGCTCCTGGAGGTGGGTCCAGGCGGACTCGGAGAGCACGGCGGGAATCTGCACCACCCCGTCGGACAGGAAGAGGATCCCGCAGGGTCCATCCGAACCTCGAGTCAGAACCTGGGACTGGGTCATTTGACCCACCTGGACGACATGAGCCTTGAGGCGGACGGAACCGCTCTCCTCCTCCTCCGGGCCGCTGTAGTTCAGGATCAGGCTCTCGATCCACGGACTCAGTTTGCTCAGGGCGGATGGAGCCATGTTATTTGAGCGGAGCCCCACTGCGGGTCCGCCTTTAATGTCCTCCGACTGGAAAAACAGACAGTTCTTAAAGGTTCCACAACATCTAAGAAATAGATATTAAATTAAATTAATTAAATTAGGATCTAAAAACGGAGGAGGATATACTAAATAAATATTATTACTGTCTTATTTTAAATGTAGTATATTAGCTTTGGTATATAAATGTTTGGTATATAAATTCGTATTTCAAAATCTGGCCTCCAGTTCTAATGTTAAAAATCTTGGTGTTATTTTTGATCAGGACATGTCTTTTAACCCCCACATTAAAAAGGTTACCAGAACCGCCTTCTTCCACCTGCGTAATATCGATAAAATTAGAAACATCTAAACTGAAATAAACTAAAAGTGCTGCAGAAAAACTGGTTCATGCATTTCACATCTAGACTGGATTATTGCAATGGTTTATTATCTGGATTTCCAAAAATGTCTTTAAAAAGTCTTCAGTTGATCCAAAATGCAGTTGCCAGAGTCTTAATGGGCGTTGAGACCGTATTTCTCCAGTTTTAGCTTCTTTCCATTGGATCACTGTCAAATTCAGATTTTTTTTTTTATTCTTTCGGCTGCTCCCTTCTTCAGGAGTCACCACAGCGAACTAAGTCGCACGAAGACGTGGCGATTATTTTTACGCTGGATGCCCTTGCTGACACAACCACAGACCATCGAGCTACCACAGCACTGTGTGTGGAGCAGAGAGCACCTATCTAGGATGCTCAGGGGAGCAGATGGTGGGGGTTAAGGGCCTTGCTCAGGGGCCCAGGATTGGACAATTTTTTATGTTGTCGGTACCAGGAGGTGAACCAGCGATCTTCCGCTCACAGGCCCACCTTCTCTAACCTCTGTGCCACCACTCCCTTCAGAATGGAATTCAAAATCTTACTTCTAACCTACAAAGCCCTCAACAACCTAGCTCCATCTTATATTAGATATCTTATGATTCCATATTTTCCTAACAGAGCACTTCACTCTCACTGTAGGCTTACATACGGTTCCCAGAGTTTCCAAAAGCAGAATGGAAGAGCTTTCAGTTATCAGGCTCCTCTCTTGACTCTGAACCAACGTCCAGTTTCTGTCCGGAAGGCTGAAGCTTTGTCCAAACTATGCTTAAAACTTTTCTTTTTTTGTTATCTATATGGATGATTGAGCCTACAGACCTTTTTTATCCTATAGTTAGGGTTGGCTTGTTATGCTGCCATAGGCTTAGACTACTGGAGGACAAATTGACCTAATCTCATAAAATGAATTGTTACAATTGAATAGTTCTCGGCCTGTCGTTGTGTGTCTGTTCCTCCTTCCTGTTCCTCTCAAACCCTGCTGGAGGTTTCTTCTTCATGAGGGAGTTTTTCCTTTCCACTGTCGCCTGCGTGCTTGCTCAAGATGAGAGTTCTGCAATGGAGTTAAATTCAAAGCAGTCTGCTCCTCAGATAAATAATAGCCGACTTACTTTTTATGTACTGTACATGTAATTGAATGAATTCAATGAATGAATTGAATTGAAGCAGTTTTGGGGAGCTTTAAACCTGTTGAAACTGGTTTTGGAGCTTTAAACTTGTTTAAACAGTTCTTTTCAGTCTAGCTGAAGAGACATTCGCGGATCGTAGAAAAACACAGGTAGACTTTTGTTTACTTTTTTTGTTTTCTGTTATGGAATTTCCTACTACGTGTTTTATATTTATTTTGTATAGTTCAATAAATCATACATAATTAATTTTGCATTGCTGAAGTTTTAACTATTATTATTTATTCTTTCTTCTCAGATACGTTCCTTCTTTAAATTTTGTCCGGTAGTCGTGAACGCAGCAGTCTTACAAGATTCTCGCCCGGAGTCGTTCATGGTTCTGTAAGTGGAGTTCGGCACTCCCTGTGCCCCAAAATACAAAACGACACTCACTACTTTAAAAGGTAAGTTACTAAAATGAGTAATTAAAAAAATAAAATCATGACATGTTGAGTTTTGAACTAAAGTCGTTTATCAGAAGCCGTTTGTTTATGTTGCTGTGCTGCTGCTAGCCTAGCTGTTCTCGCCAAACCTGGTTTAGAATTTGACCCGTTTAAGGTATTTCTGCTCGTGCCACTAAAATAAGCTTTTAACAGAAAACAAACTGCACTTTATACGAATAAACGTGTTTTACGCATTATTCGGTTTGGTAGTTATTCACCAAATAAATACTATTAATTTGTAAATGTTAAAGAATGTCCAACTCTTGTTCTTTTGACAGGAGAGTATTTCTCGGGTTGTCCTGACATGCCGAACTCCACATCCAGTGAGCCCGGTTCGAGGGTCTCCGACCCACAACACTCCCAGAAGCTCCTCAGAGTTCTTCGTACTTTCTGGCAGGAGCAAAGTTTCCACGATGCCCTGCTGGTGGTTGATGGAGAGGAACTTCCTGTTCAGAAAAACATCCTGGCTGCTGCCAGCCCTTATATCAGGTCAGTCAGTCACACCTGCCCAGGTGAGACCATGCTGTCCCTGTCTGTTAAAGTGGTGTGTCTACCTGCACATAAACCACAACCAGGAATTCCTCCATTATTTCTTAAAACATTCTGACAGCTTCTGGTGTTGATCTTTTCCTTCAGAACCAAACTGAACTACAACCCTCCAAAAGAAGATGGTTCCACCTACAGAATAGAACTGCAGGGAGTTTCTATGGCCATCATGAAACAGATCCTGGACTACATCTTCAGCGGTGAAGTGAGTCAAATTAGCAGTTTATTTTTAAAAATAATAAAACCCCACCTCTGTAGGAAATGAGTTTAATTAAGTCAAGTCAATTTTATTGTCATTCTCATCACATGTACATGAGGTGGAACGAAATTATGTACTCAGGGTCCCAGTTACATCTAACATATAGCAAAAATATAGAGTGTAAAGAAGAAACGGTTTATAAGGATCTAAGATATATGCCAAACGAACAACAAACGGCACGCCAAACGATCTAAGATAGACACTAAACACTAATAATTCAAAACAATACAGCATAACAACAGCAACCCGAACATGAGTCTGTGGTGAGCAGATGGTACGAATGAATACAGCAGCATGAGATCAACAGCATGGATAATCAGCAGCACAGATAGGTCACATATCACCAGTTAAAGTGGCGTTACAGTGATTTTTTTTTTTTCACAGTGATTATCCTGGTTAGAGATTCATGAGTTTTAACAGCTTCAGGGTAGAAGCTGTTCCTCAGTCTAGTGGTTCTACACTTAATGCTCCACAACCTTCTGCCTGAGGGGAGTGGGGCACAAAGTGTGTGTGCTGGGAGAGTGGGGTCCTTCATGATGCAGGTGGCCCTCTTCCTGCATCTGGAGGAGTAAAAGTCCCTGCTACCACCCGGTGGAGGGGACAGCTGCACGGCGGCGGAGGATCCCCCCCCCCCCCCCCCATGGGGAACATTGCCCCCTTGTCTGGCTGGCTCCCACCGGGCGCATTTCCTCCATGGCGGTGCGCCATCCATCCATCCATCCGTCCGTCCATCCGTCCGTCCGTCCGTCCGTCCGTCCGTCCGTCCGTCCGTCCGTCC